ATCATATTCTTTTTTTATCATTTTAATTTATAGTTACACCTTAGTGAACAACTCAATCAATCTCCTTCTAAATCCGGCAGCTTTGTTTTTCATAAGGCAACCCTATTTACTCACGTTTAACAATGCAACAATCAACAATAAAAACGCCTAAACATTCAGCAACAATGATTTATTTGGAAATCCCAGATGTAATGGTTTTATAATGGGTTTTAATCGGCAATACTGCACACGTCATAACTCTGTGTATTGTTGTTGTAACCGACAAATATCACTTTTCGTGCAAAACTCGACCAATTCTCACGACCCAACTTTCTGGGTTCAGGCCGTGGGATATGAACATGGAACCGAATAAGTAATTTGACACAGAAAGTTGAAGCGGGTTTGTCATCGCATTGCCTCAGCAGCGAGTCGCTGACTCAACGTGCTGAGTCGCTGACTCCGCGCTGACTCATGTGACAATCAGCTGGTATTCCGTCCGCTCAACGATTAACAACAGATTGATTGGAAGCAAACTGCGATCAGATAGTTTGCATTTCAATCTAGTGATTATTCATTTTGTCACTGTATTCTGGCGCATATTATGCCAACTGACGATTTTGAGGATATATATAAATATCTTTCTCAAAATATATGTTTTATTTAATTATTTATTTAACATCAATTAGCTTACATGACCGGGTGGACACCCGTTGATTTTAAATGTTAAGTTTTAGTTTTATACTAGCGTATTAAATTGGAAGGGTTTTTTTTGTGGATAGAACTCCTCCCATGGTTTTTTACTTATTTTGACGATTTTGGTGTCATTTTAAAGAGCTCACTCTGAACATCGCTTTTGTTCCACGCACTCTTTTTCCGCGAGATAGGGGGCTGTACACTTCCTCCCCCAATTCCTCTCTTTTGCGCTCCTCCTAATTATTTTTTCATGAGGTCTTAAAAACTCGATTATGATTTTATCCTTAGATAAAATCTCTATAAAAAATCCTAACCTAACCTAACATATGAAAGAAAGAATTTGGAGGAAAGCGAAAGAGAGGATTTGGGGAAGGAGAGTGCAGCCCCCTCTCTCTCGTAACAAAAGCGATGTTTTGTCATCGATGTATAATAACTCTTTTGGCCGGCCCCGAAATCTACCTGCTGAATCCCAGAACAAAAGTGATGCTAGCCTTTAACCGCAGAACAAAAGCGACTCACGCTAATTAGATAAAGGGCGTTTTACCCAGTGGCCTTCAAAGTGGTCATGTTAACGTTATGGAATACTAATATTGAAATCAGCTGTTCATTTCTTTGTTTTTAATTTGAAGCATTTTAATTGTCACATGTGATTTCCATTTGCTTATTTATTTTATTATTACTGATTCAGCAAAATTACCCAGAAAATCCACTGATGTAACCATACTACATCGATTTATGAAATAACGTAATTTTCGGATTTGCTACTCTTGTTTTAACATATCCATAACGTAAGCTGTGAAACAAAGGGTATCTACAAAGGGAAACATTATCACGAGAACCTCTTCCGCTTCCGGTGATACCGGAAGTGCAAGAGCTTGGATAAATGCGAAATGACCACAGCTGTCTCGGCGTCTCAGGCGGCTCAGGCTTGCCAAATGCCCAGCGCCAAATACGGAGACCTTCTTGATTTCTTGCTCAACCTCTAGCTTTCACATTCGATTGAATATGTTTTTTATGTGAGAACTTAGAAAGTGAATGAAAGTGCCGTTTATTAATTCAATTCAACACTACACAAACTCAATAATACAAATGTATTATATTACCTTTGTTGTTGCCTGTGTTCTTGAGAAGACGTTTGCAATAAGGGCAATAGCTCGCCTAAAGGGGTTTAAAAGCGTTTTTCCAGATTAATAGTGGTTGATGGTTACATAAGAATCGCAAAGGAATCAATTAGAAGCAAACTACAGTGGAACCTTGATAAGAAGACCCTCAATAGCAAGTGGCCCTTGATAACAAGTCATTTTCAAGTACCCTTGCTTTTATATTGCCTTTAAATGCATATATGTTATAGCAAACCTCTATAAGGAGCCAACCTTGATAACAAGTCATATTTTATCATCCCCATGAGGTTCTTCTTATCAAGGCTCTACTGTACAATATAATTCAGAATCAAAATTATACAAGTCCCTTGAAGTATGTTATTTTGTTACTTTACAAATATAAAAGGTAATTTACATTTCCAAACATCTAAAATTGTGGTTGTAAAATATTTAAAAATTGCTACAAAATCCGAATATGAACATTTTGTTAACAATTAAATGTAATAATCAAAGCCCTAGACATTTAAAAAACTGAAAATTCGTTTTGCAACATGAGCATCAGGTTTGCTCCGACAGGACAGGGGTTTTAAAATTCACCGCTACATACCTATTGTAATAATCTTGTCAAGTATTTCACAATTCTAATGTTTGCTTTGCAATTGCAACATTCTGATTAGTGATTAATCTTTTATTCTCCCACATCTAAGACAAGTTGTCTCAATTCTGACAAGTGCAAAGCACTGTGGGTAGCCAGAAACCTTTCAAAGATCAGCTGATCGGATTGTTACGCAAATGGTGAAGGTAATGACTTAACTTGAGTGGGAAATCTGTAGGTAGACTCGGCTTGATTAAAACAGATTAGCTTAAGATGGATATCAAAGTGTAAATGTTTGTATAAAACAGCCATTTTAGATTGAATTTATGAATAGATATGATGTTCATAGGTCTAAAATGCCATTTCATAGGTTAACAGATTATTTGCGCTATTAGGTGGAAATATAAACTGTTTTTGCAGTTGCCGTATTGAAGAAATTAAAGTTGCCGTAATTGCGATAATTTCAGAAATAACGCTTAAATAGACACACAAAAGGACTAATGGGTACATAGAGTATGTAGAATATTGGATACATGTGAGAACATATTAATAATGGCCTGTTACTTTTTTTCGTGTTGAGCGGAGTTTTCCCGTACAGTATCGTGAAGTTAACACGTAAAGACTGAACAAATTATTACAGTCTGAGCTATAATTTCTGCTGTTTCACTAGATTAAAAATATCATTGTTTCAAACTCTTTTATGAAAAAGACTGTCTTTTTACTCCCCTATTGCAATTACTTTTGAATCAGTAACGGAAATGTTAGCCCGACGTGATTCATAATTTGTTGGTGATACAGTACAATATGTTTAGTTTATGACACATTTCCATTTATCACTGAGGAAATCAATAGTTGTCTCAGAATTCAATTCTGGTTAAGTGTTTAAACGTCTAACCTCGGTGCCGTCCAAAATGGTATACACCTGGGCCAGATGGGCACACAATAACTGTAGTAACTAAAGGAATTATTGCAATTTTTCATCAAGGAAAAATGACATAAATATATCAATAAATATGTACAACTATATGAATGGTTTTGTTGGTAACGGGAGTTTTCTCATGATGCAGTACAAATATACAAACTTTTATTATTATTTATCAGTTATAACTTATAACTGTTATAACTATAACTTATTATTTATAATTTGAACTCATGATAAATGAAAATTGTATGTAGGCTATACCAAACTAATCCAAACTATTCACATGCGGAGCAACAATGGAACAGTAGCATTGTTGAGGTAACCAGGGACGTGACGATAGGACCTTGATCCCGTTATGACTCAGAGGGGGGTGGTAGACTAGTGGGGGGGTCACATTTCGCATTAGCACGCTTTCACTATCCGAACATCCGAACACATTCGGATACGGATTCGGATAACGCGCTGGCGCCGTGGGAGGGTCATCTGGCGAGACCGCCACCTGTCGGTGGAAAATTAATATGGGCAGGGAACACACATTTAAATAAATACTATGCAAAACAGTAAAAACGTCTAAAATTATGGACGTCCAATAATTTAACCCGGGACTTTTTCTGTTAATTCACTGACAATGTTATAGTTGCTTCTTCTTTTTTTCAGGATGAAATGCTGTGGCGTTATCAACAAGCCCTGAAGGATTAGTTTTTTTTTTTAGGCTGGGAGTTTAGACGGAACCAAAACAGCTAAAAAAATCAACAATTGTGTATTGTTGCATACAAATTATATAGATGGTGACGGAAAAGGCCCTTAACCCTACATTCTGTCTTAAAGTAAATTACAATTGATTTTAGATATGGATGTCCAAAATGAGTTTTTGCTATTTCAACCATACAATTGTTCGCGCCTTTTGTTTGAATTAAATTAAACAAGTTTATATGCATTTTTTGTGTGACACTAACTCAAGAAAATGATTTTGTTCAATAGTTTAATACATAGAAATCCAATACCGTACATACATCCAAACAAAGTTTATAATTATTATTTATTTTTACTGAATAATGTGATTTATGAATATAACAATTGAATATTTGAAATCTGTGCCTAGACTCACCTAGACTACTTAGAGGTGTGAGATAACATCTTCCAGGTACCGAGAAGTCGTAACAAGATCTTAGGTAATTGAACAGAGGCGCATTCTATTGGTATCAGAATCTACTACTTACTACATGCTGCCCACCTCGTTGCTTTTTAGCAGGCTCCATTTAGATGTCATGTAGCTTCGTACACAGATTTTGTTATTAGTACTGGCTTACAGGCTGTGTACATTGATTATAAAACCTCCCACAGTCGTTGCGGTAGTACATTTAATCTGTTCTTAGGATAAATATTGGGAAAAGGGTTATTTCTTCTAGGTTAGAGGGGGTTTTCCTAGTTAAAACCATACATCGTGTCTTTGGAAACCATTGACATTTTTAATGAGTTATGTTTTGCTGCACTGTGCCATTGGTTATATATCTCCTACTAATGACATCCTGTATTGTCAACACCCATTATTTGCACAATTAAAACTCATGGCGAAACTCAAAACACCATACAGTATGTAATAACAGAAGGCATATTATAGCTTTTGCTTTCATACTGTATAATGCCTTTAACTTGAACCATTCAACCATTATGTTCTCCTTCTTTCCATTTCTTCTGCTTCTTCTCACTGCTTTCTGCTGTTCTGTTCTCTGTTCTGCACTTGCTTGACCTCAGAAGGAGACTTTTTTACACATAATAAATTTTTTACAATGGCTTCTAAAAACCTTAGTGTTATCGTAAGTACGCATACACTTATTTTATTTATTCAACTATCTTGTAGGCTGGATTCTAACATACCTGCACAAGTTAAGTGACCGAGGGTATCGTAATATTTCATGATAATAATAGGCCTAGGACTCCCTGTCTAGCCTAGGCTAGTTAAAGGTTTTTATTTTTTGTATGGCACATAAGTTCTTAAAATAATGCACACACTAGATTGCCGGTACCTTATTACCGTATCTTCATATTTTTTTACCCAAAAGGGATTGATGGCGTCAGACTTTTCAATTCAAAATCAACTCATGTCAAAATACAACATATATAACATAGTGTTTTAACTTAGATGGGCTTGGTAAAGATCTGCTCGGTGCTTAACTTATTTTCTAGTTCATCAGATCAAGATTTAGACAATGGTTTAGACTTATACTTGGTTCATTCGTTGATAGTATGCTAAATGCAATTACAAGTTAACCTAAATGTTGAAAGTTAAGTTTCTTACCACCAGGCTCTTTGTATCCAATTAAGTTAGATACGGGCCTAGCGTTGCTTGGGCATGGTCGTTTTCAATCACCTACGTTTTCCTACACTTTTCAGGAATGTTTGGTTCTTGCCTACGTAAAGCACAGACACCTCATTTGAGTGGTTCCATGTAGTGAGGGACATAGGGATTGTTAAACGAGTCTATGATTTGTTAGATCGGTTGAGGTTACTCACCACTTTTTGTGTTTGTAGGGACCTGATATTACTAGCCAATATTAAGTGATTTTTTTTTAAAATTAACACATAGGCACCTATAGGTTACTAAATTAGAACTTTGTTTATATTAACTTTTAGTCTTGCCGTTTCAGGAATGTTTGGTAGGTGATGTTGTCCTACGCAATGTTTTTGTAGCTAATCGTTAACTGATGCTATTGACCGTTGTGCAGAACACTGGCTATATCCAATCGGATACCTACAAAAATGGCGACATTTTAAATGTTACTGTTTTAATTCTTTACAAGCTGCCATACCCGTGCTTTGCAACGGGAAGAAAATGTGACTTAAGTTAGAGAGCTATTAAAGTGGTGCTACTGTGTGTTTTATAAAAATAGGTACAGCAACTCTATCATTTGAGTTTGAAAATATGAACTGATTTAAAAGTATAAACCTACTTACTTTCAAACCCCTACTTTTAATGTTAATGGATCCAAAAGAATAATGACTACATACCTTAGTGTCATGGTAGAAGGAAAAAAACATAGGTGTGCTATTCCCGTCATATTCTGACGTCACTCGGATTGCAAACAAAAGATCACCTGACTGTAACTGTCAAATTAGTATGTGTATTTGTTTTGATTTGGTTGTTATTGTTATTATTATTCTTAATGTACTTGATGAATAAAGATAATTTGAATTGAATTATACTGGTAGAGGTTGGTTACAGCGAATGTGTAATTAGTTCTTGTCAAATCAAAGACTATCCATCACAACCAATGCAAGCAGATTTTCTTAAACATTTTAAAATCATATGGCAATGACTTCTTCCCTTAAGTCACATAGAGGGTAAAAAAGATCAACCAAAAGGTTTGAGGAAGTAATGCGTTGATTTGTATTTTCAGGTCAGGTCACTGTCAACTTCTGCAGTGCAGAATCAGATGGTCAGGGTAAGTTTTTTTCCAACTTAATTAGAAGATCTTGGATATGACTAGCTTCTCTGTAAGTCGTCTTTAACCCTCCGAGTGTCCATAGTTTAGGCCTTAATGTCCACCTATTTTTGGCCCCTTTGCAAGGTTTTATTAAAACGGATCTGAGAAGCTTAAAACAATGTTAATTCTAATGTTCTATATACCATTTTGTTTGGAAAATCATGGGCTTCAATATTATATATAAAACATAAGGAACATTTTTTCAAAAAAAAAATTTTTAGGTAAAAAAAAAAATATAATTTCGAAAATTTTCAAAAAAAAAAAATAAGTTCGCGCTCAATGAAATTGTATAAATTATAGGCCTATAAATATTTGAAAATAGCCACTTTGTTCTAAATTTAATGAGGATTACAAATATATAATCATATAGCGAGGTAAGTTATCAAATAAATAAGTTATGAGCGAAAAACGGATTTCAGTACATAGCGTTTAGCTAAGAATGCATAGCCTAACCATAGCTAGGAATCTGGCTGATAATTTACATCAATATCACTACCTACTTCTTCAGGATCATCAACCAGCACTTCAAAACCACTTAAATCTTCTTATAATGCACCACGTATATCACTACTTTTGATTTTTAACACTAAAACAATGATAAACGTAATAAAACACATCAGTCATCGGTCCGGGGGAACCTAGCTGTTTACAAATACACGCACGTCAGCTGTCTGCTACAATATTTTCGGAACTAAAATGAATAGCGCTTAGAGACAGACCTCTGGAGAAAGCTTAGAATATTACGGAAAGAACGATACCTAACTCGATCCAGTTCAATCCGATTCAGTCAGTCATAGAGCCTTCGCCGTAAACGATGTTTGTGCGTCTTAAAAGCGACGCGTGACCCTACACAAAGTGTGTTGTGCGTCGTTTTTATGACGCGTGACACTCGGAGGGTTAAACTAGAAAAAGTAAAAAGTGATTAATTTAAAGTAGGCCTATGCCATAATGATCTAGGCCTACTAAGATTAAAATATACAAAGTTTGTAGCTGATTCAGAGTATTATTGTTTTTATTTTGAAAACTGAGTTTATTATAATAAACTTTGCCTATTAGACACAGAAACAATAAACTCAAATTTATGATATAGGCCTAAATAATAAGTGCGGTAACTTAATGTTCTCCATATAAATGATTTTGAATGATTTTACTTAATCCTTTTAACACTTTTATGACTATTTCATTTTTTAATTTTGATGGAAGATTATATTTTGTTATACATACGGCAAAAAATTGTGTAATAGTGCCTCTTGCACCAATCGTTATGCCAATTACTGATATAGAATTTAGATTATATTTGTTTCTTAAATAATTTTTACATTTAGGGCCTACTATACATTTTTCTCGTTTCTTCATCCACTTCTAAGGGTTGGTTTTTTGATATTTCAAACCTTAAGGTTGGATCAATTATAATTCCACTTTTAGATTTTGTGTCATATATTAAAATGTCAAATCTTCTGTTTGATCAACCATCTTCAATGCAATGTACTTCTTCAACCTACTACTTGCCAGCCTTTTTTCCGTAGTTCTTCTGCGATCATTGATCGTACAGTATGGTGTCTTGCATTACGCGGTTAAGGCACCAAAAGGGACAAGAGCCAAGGACATGCGGAAGGGTTTCAGAATCCGCTATGCCCTATGTAGTTTTGTTATAGACAATGATTTGCCGATTCACTTTTTGAATCGCTAAAAAGTTAACCTGATTAAAAATGGAAATTGTGTTCATAATAGTTTCTGTAGGCCTAAGTTATTCTTTTGGTCAGTCTTTCCAGTTTACTGCTGTAGCGTGACTCTACAATTTGTAGGACAATACTATCAACACCACAGTATACTACTGAAATTTTCAAACACCGAAAAAGTCAGTAAAATAATAGGCCTATTTAGAATGTTTACTTCTTGTGTTGTTTCCTTAAAACTCACTTTTTATCCTCATACTGCAGGAAAATCAATTACTGAATCAAGTAGGCTGGAGTCCTTTTGTTTATTCTCCATATTCACACAAAGCAAAGTCCAAATAACTTATCCGAGTAATTCTCAAATTTTATAAGGCTTACCTGGAAAATGATGCTTCAATCCGAGTACTTGGCATTCAGTGACAGACGGATAGCGTCTAAGGCTGACTACACGTGTTTAAGTGTTTTTGAGAATGAAAATTGTGGTATTTAAGTATAGCAAGTAGGCTATGCTGAAATTATGTTGAATCAGAATTTTAAAATGCCCTCCAAAAATACAGTAGGTATTACATTTTTGTAAATGCATTTTTCAATATTTAACACATAGGTACAGGGTGAATAAAAAGTCAAGACCCCCCATCTAATATTTTTCCAAGTAAATATACATAGATATCCTTTTGGGGGTCGTGCAATCTTAGCAGGAAGTTTCATTTTATGATTTTGAAATTTTTGAGTGTCCCCCCCCCAAAAGGGGGGATTTTGGGGGTAACTTAAATATTTTAAATGTAAACCCCCTTCAAGTGACACCTCATTTTGATGTGTTTACAAAAACTTAAAGAATGATGAAAACTAGAGGTCGCTATCTCTTCTCTATCCAAAATGGTAGCCAATATTATCATTACGAACCAATTTTACCATTGATTTTCCACAATATTTGACAGGCTACCATTTTGGATAGAGAAGAGATAGCGACTTCTAGTTTTCGTCATTCTTTAAGTTTTTGTAAACACTTCAAAATGAGGTGTCACTTGAAGGGGGTTTACATTTAAAATATTTAAGTTACCCCCAAAATCCCCCCTTTTGGGGGGACACTCAAAAATTTCAAAATCATAAAATGAAACTTCCTGCTAAGGTTGCACGACCCCCAAAAGGATATCTTTGTATATTTACTTGGAAAAATATTAGATGGGGGGGTCTTGACTTTTTATTCACCCTGTATATGGAACTAACTCTCTGAATTAGCTAAATAATCAACGTAAAATAAGTAACAATTTTGCTTTATTTCAGCCACCCATCCAGATTTTTGGCTTGGAGGGAAGGTATGCAACGGCCCTATACTCCGCTGCCTCCAAAATGAAGCAGCTCGAGGCAGTAGAATCTGAACTGGTCAAATTCCAGGTAAGTTAAGATGTATTAATTTAATTATTAGATACTTTGTCTAGTTTATTATGTAAAACATAAATAAGGTCACAAAATATTCTCAACTTGTCTTTGGGGCTAAAACTTCTAGGTTTGACTATTCTGGCCGAAGGTAGGCCTACTAAAATGTTTTAAATTCCATCTAGGGATTTCTTCACTTGACTAGTTTTATGTAGACTAATCTGTATAAATATTAAAAGTGCATTTTGGAATATTAAATTTCAAAATGTTGGTAGTGGGTACCGGAGTGGTTGTTTTCGGGGCTAAAATAAAAATACTTTATATGCCTTATCTCAAAATAACATTTGGGATCTGGACACTGATGTAACAGTCATAAATTTATTATTATAAAAAAATTAGAAACAGGTTGTTATAAGGCGTTTTGGAGATTTGTGAACAAAGGTTTTGTATGCATTTTAGGGATCTTTGAAGACAGACAAGAAACTTAACGAATTCATTGCAAATCCTACCATCAAAAAGGAGGTTAAGATTGAGGGTGTCAAGCAGATTTCAACATCCCTTAAGTTCTCTCCGCCAACTGCTAACTTGGTTGGTAAGTAACCAGCTAATGTGGTAGCTTAGTGGTTATCGTATCCAATAGGCCTATGCCGCTTGGTAATAAAAAGGTCTCTTAACTCCATGATTTTTTATTTAAATTTTCAATAGAACTTGTGGAAAAAAATGAAATTATTATTTAAATTTATAAAAATTATTGTGCTTTTCATCAATAATTGCATTGTAGAACTCTTTCCAATTCTCCTTTGCAAGTTATGGATTGAAGAGTCATGTTATCTTTTATAAAATTCTCCTTTCATTTCAAAAACTACGCTCAGCCCCAGAGTTTAGACTACTAAAATATAGCCCCCTAGTATAATTCGATAATCTGTATCGTTCAATCACATCGTGATCCGCATATATAAAGTTCTCCTAACTTTAGTTAACTGCTTTAAACAAGACTGATGAACAACATCAGTCGGCCTACCACGTGGAAAACATTGCGTACAATTTTAAGACCGTAATGAACTCCCTCCACCCCTTGCACACATTTTCTACGTCCAAATATTTTACTTAATTAATGTCCGTCAACTGGCGTTGTGGTTGATAACTTAGACCTCAAAATTGGAATCATAGAAAGCGGTTTATACATGGGGGGAAGGTCAATTTACTTTCACAATTTTTTTTTCATTTGAATTTCCAATACTACCGGTACGACAAAACTAATCTTCCTATTTTGGTAAAACCGACTAGAATCATAGATTAAGTAGGGAACAAAACGTAGATATCACATTTGAAATAGCTCGTTAGGCTAAGACAGGACCTCGATAGAAATCTTAATTTACGAACGATCATCATGCATTTAATGGGGCTGAGATAAATAATTTACTTTGGTTTTTAGTGTTCTCCGATAGAAAACTATTTATGCTCAAAATCAAAATCTTTGTTGCCTTTTTTACACCATTGTATGCATGGGGTTGTCAACAATACGTAATATAATACTCGTACATCATATAGACCGATAGATAGTACGATAGTATAAAAAATTGTTTAGGCCTTAGTACACCAAGTTTCAATTCAATTAAGATGATTTAACATAAAGTTGACATTTGCATCTTGAATAAATATAGGCAACTTATGAATAGCAAGGCACATTTTCAGTTAGCCATGACCGTTTGAATTGAAACCTAAGTGGTGTACTAAAATTACACTTGGTTTTAGATTTTACTTATCGTCTGCTTCATTCTAGCTCTGTTAGCTGAGAACGGTAGGCTGCGCAATCTGCACTCCATCATTAACGCCTTTAAGACGATCATGTCTGCCCATCGAGGCGAGATCGCTTGTGAGGTAACCACTGCCAAGGTAAGGATTGAACTCATTTTGGAATTACAAAAAGCCTAATTAATTTGAAATACTGTATACCTAGCTAAACTTTTTATTTCATTGTTTTTCTGTAACTTCTTTGGACAAAGTGTTTTTAAAAAGGTTACAAATTTCTCGAATTATTAGTTGTTACTTTATGCTTATTTAGTCTTGTAAAAAATAAAAACAAATAAAGTTACTACTTCACACGTTAATTTTTTTCTTTGGATTTTTTGATGTGTGGCGGAAGAAAGGTTAAAATTGTGCTTTTCGAAAAATAAACTAGGCTATCTACTGAAGCTTCTTTAGTTCTCAACACTTAAAAGCTTGACCATGAAGGGCTGCAGTCTATGTCACAAAAGAACTGAATGCCACAAATTGTGTAAGCCCTAAGGGCTTAGGTGTTATGTTGACCTAATCTATAGAAATGTTACAAATGATCCCCAGGTCTTCGACCAATGGAGTAGCGAGTAGATAAAATCAGGATTCACACGCTTCAATTAGGGATTAAAAATAATGTTATTTTGGAATCAGAGTTCCTTCAGAGTCAAGGAACGTTCCTTAACTTTTTGGTAATACGTAATTTAATACAGTTATTATTTTTACCGTACCGGTACCTATTACTTAATCGTCCATTATGTTTCGGCCAGTTGTTCTAACCGTTCAGGTGTTACCAAAATAATTGGGTCTTCCCAGCAACCTATTACTAAGGTAGTAGGTGATACGTAATATCGTTAGGTAATAGCGTTATTTATCATATGACGTTATATAACGCTCACTTCTTGTTTAAGAAGACACTCTCGGACTTGTGATCAAAGCCTGAGTTCAAAAGTTGAACATATTTTGGCTTTAGGTGCATGAACTAATTCCTCATCAATGTACAGTCAAATTTCATGAAGTGTTCATCATTTACAAAATTATTTGAGTTTGGAATTATTTTCCGAAATTTGATATGTAAACTCTGTTGTTTTAGCCTCTGGACGATGCCACTAAGCAGGAACTGACTGCTGCTCTCAAGGCGTTTGCCAAGAAAGGAGAAAACATTCTGCTCACAACCAAGGTACATGATGTTATTTTTAAAGTATTTCTAACAACCTTATTTTAATATCCAGAAGCATAAATTCATACTTAAAAATGTTTAACAATCTTTTTAGTATTGATAAATATTGTTCCATGGTAAGGCAGGGCTCAGTATGATTGACATATAAAGTTTTTAAAATGATATGTTAGCTCAGTTTGCTAAGGCGTTGCACTTACGTGTGTAGCGTTGAGGTCTTTCTACATGGGCGGTTTCGAATCCCTTACATGTGAAATCCATATTGTGCTTGCTAATGTCTTAGCTGGGGTGGAGGGCACTCCTTAAAAAAAAGGTATCCGACTTGGTGGGAAGTTTACGGCAATGGTGAGCTTGGTATTTTTTAACTCTAAATGTTTTTAAAGAAGGGAATTCTACAGTGTTTTTGAGTTTCTGATTTGATTTCTGATTCCTATGTTCACAGGTTGATCCTAGCATTATTGGAGGTATGGTTGTTAGCGTGGGAGACAAGTATGTTGACATGAGCATTGCCAGCAAGATCAAGAAATACACCGAGCTCATCCAGGCTGCTGTCTAAATAGTTGTTCCCTTGTTGTAGTGAAAGCAGTGATTATGTATATAAAATGTCAGCATTTCTTATTTCTGTTAAAATATAAACACACCTACACATAGTGAAGTGTTTGCTTACACCTCCTTGATATTGTTCATAGTAAATGAACAAATATTGTCACTGGACTGAAAGTAAACATGTTTTTATTTTATTTAAATGAATATCCACATCAGCTATTAGTATAGACCTTTGAGCCACATTTAGCCAGTGACTAAATCGTTATATGTAATAAGTGAAGGCAATTTCTACAAAACACTACTCCTCTGTTAATAATGGACCGATTTTTACAAACGATTTGTCAAAATGAAATATTGTTTGTGTAGATGCCTCCTTTCACCAATTCCTGTAATAAAAGTCCTCGGGTTTTTGCCCCACAGGCACAGGCCATTAAAATCCCAATGTAGTTCTTATGAATGAAAGATTTTGTTTACTTAAACAAACTAATTATTTGTATTAATTACAGCTGTTCATAGTAAACACATGATACACACAAGAGCGTTTGTTTTCAGAGTGAGTTCATTTTCAGTTTCGATAACTGGAGTGGAGTGATTGATTACATTATCTTTGAGTTGACTCTTTTTAAGTCATCGGAATTAATGACTGTTATTCGTTTTGTAATAACAATGGTAATACTTTGCATTTGCTCGAATTCGAGCAACAGGTGCACTAGTTGATTTATAATAATTTATGATCCATACCATTATTTTATGCTCTGATTTTCGTGGTATACTCTAAAGAAATTAATTTTAAAACAGTAAAGTTATCTCAAAAGTTGTACCAGGTAAAATTGTGTACAAGAAGTTTTTAAGTACTGTATGTAAAAAATTAATAAATAGATGTGTATATATTCAATTTTGCTTGGTTAAATTGTTATTCTTTCATTTCAAGTAATACATGGTTTCCAATATACTTACTTGATGCTTGTTGTCTTCATTTTCGACTCAGCTAGTGGGATTGACTGCTTCAGATATACTTTCAGCTATTTCTTTCCTGTGAACAGTGGGATCTCTTCCTCGTCTTTCATGGAGTACACTGGCCATTCTAAGAGCTAATGCTTGAATGTGATTCTTAAAATTTTATGTTGGGAGGCTTTTCACTTCAGCTGAGAGGTTGTTGAACAGTTTTATGGCTGCAATTGGAAAAGATTTTTGTGTTTTGCTCAGCCTACATCTTTGGACTTCCAGGTTTTGTGCTTTATGATCGATGTTGTTGGTGTATGATCGTTCTGTCATGAAATAGATTGATATTGTGTTTGATGTAGTTTAGAGAGTTGAAAATATACTGGCTATAAACTGTGAAGATTCTGAATTTCTTGTTGAAACCATAACTGTTAGCACCTTCTTCTCCTGAATAAGAGCATCACTGCAGGCCGCTGAGTGTACCCACAACAGAAGCCCATAGTTCAAATGACTGGAACAAGGCATGATAAATTCCCAAAAGATGGCCCACAGTCGGGGTCTTTGTCAATTTCCTCAGAAAATAAATTACTCTTGACAATTTTGCACTAACTTCTGACTTCAGTAACATGAAAATTCCAATCAAGCCTGTTATCCAGCCAGAACCCTAGAAGTTTGACTGGTTCATTGTTCTCCAGAATTTCTCTTTTAAGAGACAATAAGATTCTTAGAATCTTCATTTAACTTTATTGCTCTGGAACCAGTTTTTTCGCAGAGGTAAAGCTAAACATAAGTTGACCATATTAACGACATAGCCTACAATAATTATTAGTTTTATTTAATACTCCCGACATTTTATTTGGTTATTGATTGTCTTTTAATCCTTAGGTCCTAAATATTTGTATTTTTTGCTGGTTTAGTAAAATATGTGAAAAATGTTATACTAATAATTAAAAGAAAGTAAGACGAAGTGATGAGCGCAGGTACTAGCTATATGGCACAGGCACAGAAAGACAGAACCAAACCGGAGAGCTTACAAACAGCGCCTGGGAGAAGTAGGGAGACAAACACACGGCTCGAGTGCTACAACCCATTATTAAAATTCTGTCCACGCACTGTTATTGATATATACCGAACTGTGGCAAGGTGCCATTATTAAAAACTTACGAGTGTTTGATGGTATAACGGAGTGTTTATGGGAGAGATCGGTGTACACAAGGTTTTTCCATCTTTCTTTGTCCATTCCTGGCCACAGTTTGAGATGCCACAACTTGGTGGTTGGAGTTTTCATCAAACATGCGTAGGCCCTATGTGTGTGTGTTTTTTTATAATATCCGCTTAATAATACATTAGAGTTTGTTGAATGGTGGAATGAATTGTTTGTGGAAGCCGAATTGATGTTTGCGACTGCGTAATACTGGCCGCAAGATGTGTCGCTACCCCAAACTGTGCCTATCATCTGACTGGATCAGGTATAACATTTAATTAATTCACAGTGGAGGTTAACCTTTTGAGTAATAGCTTTATCAAACAATTTGGATTGTAAGGAAGCAAGCTTATGGACTGTAAGTAGATGCAGTCGTTAGGTGGTTTGCCTGGTTCGGGATTAACCTAACGTTATTCGAATAGGGAATAAATCTGACGCAGGTTTAAGGAAATATTTAGTTGAAAATCCAATCACTGGAAAATGAAAATTCGCTTAGTCTTTAGGTTTGCTGCTGAGGGAGCATTTTAAATTTAATTTTGAAATTGTTAGAAGATTAATGAGCTGACTCTAACATTTAAAAAATAACGAAGTTGAGTGGACCCGTAATTTAACAGTCCTATTAGGCCTAGTGCAGTTGACGGATTCCGCCACTGTTCACCAGTGGTTTACCCCATTAAAATAGTTGGCTCGGCGCTGTATGCACGCACAGGAATTGCAAACTGAAACACTATACAATCCTGGGTCATAGAGCTTGACCTTGATCCTCCCAAAAAAGTAGGGATTCAAATAATTAATGTAATGGCGGGATAGAGTTCCTCACTAAGCAAGAGCATGTCTAAAGATAAGGAGCCCATGGTCATATATCATATTACTAAGACACCTAGTCAATCGATAATCGATGATGCAAAACTCAAATTAATTTTACTTCTATTTATACTCTAACTTTGGCTGATCTCTGTCGTGTTTTTGATCCAGGACGTCATCATAGCCTCCTCAAGAGTCTTCTTATTCTTCTATAGATGTAGGCTAATGCGGTATCTGGTACTGATACCTATTTACCAATTTACCTTTCATAAATTTATCTTTATTTATTAAAATTTGTAATCACAAAAATTAATTAAATAACTTTTTAGACTATATGACCTTGACACACTATGGTGTGATTTTAAAGGCAAAGACAAGAGAAGGATAATATCACACCTTTGTTTAGGACCATTTAATGAGAGCTAAATGCTAATGGTCAAGGACAGCCTTTGAACAACGAAATCGGTGTGGTCATTCATAAGATAGAATACGCAATCATAGATTAATACATGTGGTTAAGCGTAACAATATTTATAATCATTGAGAGAATATTGATTTAATCTATGCTACTGGGGCTGGGGATAAAAGGCAAGCACAATGTCCACCGAGCTACCCAATGATTAAAGATTTTCTTACTCTATGGAATTAAGTATCTTCAATCTCCCGCCAGATTGTGTGATTTTTTTTTAATGGAGCCAAACCAAACCCAAACAGAGCAGAGCAGAATGCAGAATGCAGAATGTAATGTTTAATAACCTAATACCTGTCTGGTAGAGTCGATCTCAAAATAGGAAATAAAGTAAAGTGATATAAAATTGATATTTGATTTTCGTTTATTTTAAATTGCAGTTTGTCATACGATACCGGTAATATTGTAATTTTTATATTCATACTTTAGCAACTTAGTTCAACATCCTTTTATTAGACCTAGTGCCTTTCAACTGCAGAAATTAAGGTTATGTATTACCAGACCACTTGATATTTGATTAACTTAACTAATTCTTTACAAGATCTAAGTCTAACATTACATGTTATAAAGCCAGTTTTCAAAACCGTAACTTACAATGTCCAAAAATACCCTGTTCAACTATTTTTCGAAACCACCTGGGTCAGCATCAAAAAGCAGCCCTAGCACAAAACCCGCTGAAACTCCGAAAAATCCTGCAAGTAAACGAAAATTTGAAGACAATGAAAAAGAAAATAAGACTACACCAAAATCATCTATAAATGGAAAAAAGAATGGAAGCTCCTCTAAAACACCTGTTAATAGATCGGCTAAAAAGCAGAAATCAGGTAACTTAAGCCAAGTAACTTACCGATATGTTTAACTAGGCCTAAGTTAATTATTGATCTCATAAAAGGCGTAGGCTACCCTTTTAATTTATTTGAATATCTCGTAATTTAAAAGTGAACATTTTAGGTATAATCCTTCAATAGTAGGCATAGGCCTACTTTTAAATTATGTTTTTGACTTTTTTTCCTTAAGCCAAGCTCAGCTGAAACTGAAAAGTGTACATCAGTTTGAGACTTTAAAACTTTGTGGCTTTTTATTCACTATATACCTATTTATTTGAAGACATCGGATTCAGATTTCTCATTGGTTATCAAACACATTCAGTGTTACAATCACTTATCTTGTCAGCATCATGAAACGCAAAACATAGGCTTAAGTTAAGTTACCTGTCAATCAAGCTTAGGTCTGTCTATGCAGATAACTATCCATCTCTAGATAGCTTAAGATGAAACCGTTGACTAGGCCTATTTAGACATTCCATCCCCATGTTAAATTTGTAGCCAGGATTTTCATCAAAATTGACGTAGTTGATGTGAGCCACCTACAGATTGCGCTGATATAAATTACTAAATTCTGACGAGTACACAAACCTTTTTACCGAGTCAAACTTAGGGAATGACTTATGGTGGGCTATAGCAACTCTTATGACCCATCAACCTACAACCTGGTCAGCAACAAAAAATAAGGTACCGGTAGGCCTTATAGGGTAAAATATAATTTTAGACTCTAGCGCATTCTGTGACTGGCTCACACAACTACGTTCATTTTTAGTAAAAAATTGGCGACAGCTGATCCATATAGCTGGGATGTCTTCTTCTGTATCCAATAGTCAATGATGGAACCTTAGAAATGTTTCCTTA